TAACTATTATAACGAGATACTAACTCATACCGAGATAATTGGTTCATTATAACGTGATATAACTCGATATATGGAGATAATTACTTATTTTAACGAGATAATAACTGAGAAATAAGTTAGCTCGTTATAACGACTTTAATAATTTTCACCTTGTCAGAAATGAGACTATCCAGCATTTGTACTGAACGCTTTCCCCTTAGATCCACTGAATTATGCACCGACGTGTATCTATCTACTCGAACTCCAACTCGAATAATCTCCAACTACACATCCTCTAGTACAATAACTCCCTACTTACAAGAGGAAGCGACAACCAGTTGGGTTTTATTATAACCTTTATTTGTAGAAATTGAACCAGGTCCAATTTTCAAAACAGCGTAAACCACTTGAATAGAAATTTTTGCGAACATTATGTTATAAAAATCTTTATTGACTTTAGCGACCCGTGGGGAAAGTTGACGTGACACTTCCGGTAATAACATTAGACGTCTTCAACACAATAAAACTATCCACAGGCAAAGCATAAATCTCGTTACAGAATTGTTCAATTTTAGTCGATGTAATATCTTTTATTTGGTAATAATAAGTGAATGTTGTTTGCCAAATTACGAATTTCCGGATTAGACATTTGGTGATATTTAGATAAATCTCTCAATCTCTCTCTCTCTCTCTCTCTGGTTTGATTACCTTGACCAGCCACTAACTGAACATGAGGCTTATGGAAAATTTAAATAAGTTTGGCAGGTTTAATCCGATGAAAAAAAAGGACACAAGCCCTTGACAATCGAATTATTGTGGTCATACAAAAATGTTTTGTTCTTTTATTCTCAGTATAATGATGACAGTGTTTTGTATGGATAGTAGTTAAAACAGGAGAGACTGTAATTAAAATGGTTAGATCTTTTGATATGGCCGACCATTAGTCAAATAGACCTCACTCAAAAGATTCATAAATAGTTGTTTATACTATCATAAAAGCCAAAACCCAAAATGAATTTTGTAGTAAAAGGATGGATTGCGTCCATTTGGTTTTGTTTACGTTAGAGAACAGTATACATCAAAGTTTTCAAAAAGCAAGCATTCCATCGTTAAAATTGTTATTTCAGGTTGAAAATGAAAAGAACAACCACCGATTCATTACAGAAAATGTTGTTAGATAAAACTAGAGATGTTTCTCTACCACGTAAATTGCTGGGTATAATGTTCCTAATTTATTCGATGCTCATTAGCGATGTTCCAATCTCATGTTTTGAAAATGCCATTTTAATTCGTATTATGTTCAAATACGTTTCTGCCATTATTCATTCAATGTGTACATCATAAATGACAATTGAAGCATCGATTCTGACCTTTTTAAATATTGATCCATCATGACGTAGTTCCTAAAAATATAAACCTCATGGTTCTTTCCATTACATATACTTTTAGTGAATGAAAAAAAAAAGTTCAACATCTGTTTCAACATGTCACAACTTTGTTCAACATGGTTTTGCAACGAAAAAGACGTACATATGGTATTGCTTTTATGGGCTTTTGTTGAACCCAGGTTAAGTGTGTTGAACTGGATATGCAGGGAAAAATATCCCTCATCTCTGTAACTAAGATTGAACAAAAACAACCACCTAATTTTGTACAACATCGTTCTTATGTACATGACGCAAAAGTCAAGATGTAGCAATACACATGCAGCTGTTGTTTTTAATTAATTACTGGGAAACATAATATGTTTTTCAACTGCTGACGCTTAAAATCATAAATCATTATATCACAATATGTAAGTCAGTAACATGTATGTATAATTAAGTGATATATTACTTATATAGTGACATGAGCGATAGCAACAAAATTCACCTATATACTATAGACACATACTTCAGTTCAGTTCTTTATTACATTTGACATTGAAACACAAATTTTAACCATGTACGTTTGGTGGTCATTATTCGTTGAAGATTCATCGGACAATGCTTATTCAGCACTTCCGGTCGAAATTATTTTGACACAATCCCTTGATTTTACATTTAAAAACTGCAAAGTTTTCGAGACTACTTTGTGTGAAAATTCATATCATAATAACCGCAGTACAAAGTTAGAACATATAGATTGTTATTAATAAATGCACGAAGCACCTACCTGAAAAGTTACCTGTTATTGATATTGATCCACAATGTTTATAAAGTACGTACAGATTAGTAAAAAAATGCACGAAAATCCATAGTATTAATAAGCATAATCTAGGACTTTTTTCCTAAGAATAGTAAAACTTCCAGTCCTTTAATTTGTTGCGGAAAAAAATCTCCGAAAGATTTGTCACACACATTTTAAGATACAATTAATTTCATTCAAAGTTCTCATTCATTGAAAATGTAAAATACTCGTAACTTTCAGCATGCTAAAAAGGGAATGTCATCAAATCATCTATATTTTAGGGGGGAAAAAAAGTTTGAAACAAAATATTTTAAACAGTATGATATAGTACTTTTACAAAAATGACCAGACTCCTTATTTCATGCGGAAGTAAACAATAACAGCACACAAAAGTTTTGCAAAATCGCATTCAGACAAAATAATTATTTTGGGGGGTATTTTCGAGACGCTGTCTCAGAATTTTGCCGACAACAAAATCGTATGAGATTAGAAAAAAAAAATTAATTGATCTTTAAATCAGCCTTATCAAACTTGTTGAAATGATATGATCGCTTTACAGGCCTCGCAAATATATGTACCATTTAAAACTTATTCATGATTGGATAAAGTAAATACAAATTAACACAATCCAGATATCATCTAAATACCAACTAGCCTATACATAAAAGGAAAACTTATTAAATTATCATGTTATCTCTATAAAGTTGATTGCTCCGTGTTTTACAACCTATGAATCAAAACGATTTTAGTTTGCATCATTATAAAGCTTCGAGAGAGAAAAAAACCCATGCTCTTTATTTTTTATTAATATTGCATGATATTTATACATGTAAGTGTAACCTCGTTTATTTTTTTTTATAATTCACAATAAAACATATATTTGATATGTACTAAGAAAAAAATGACACCTTAGAATTTATGAAGACTAGTTTTTAGAAAGGATAAATCCAAAGGTCAGCGAGGCTACACCTGCGTCAAAGATCTTTCAGTTTCGTCATCGTTTAAGTTTTTATTGTTTTATACATCACAAACAGTACAAAGTTGAACTGCAAGCTTCAGAATGCCTTAAACTCCGATGGATTAATAAAGATGGGGCTCCTGAAAAATAAATTATGCCGAATAATCGCTTTGGGAATATTTCAGTCAATAGTATCATCAAATCAAAATGAAATTCATAAGAAACTAACTGCTTTTACCCCGCCGATGTAAAAAGGATATTCACAATAACAAAAAGTTTGCTGGTGTTTTCTTAAAACAACATACTTAATAAGTTAATCATGTGTTTATGTATCATTTTTCTATAATAGATCAAAAGTTTAATACAAAAAATACATGTATATGAGTATAATGAAGTTTTGGCAAAATCAAATTCTAGTACTTTGTTGGGCTTGCTGAAATTGCAAGATTTAAAGGCTGTTCGTTGATACATGTATCTTCCATGTCAAGGTCACTCAATTTTATGTATAGAGTAAAACTGGCAAACAACCCTTACATCTAAATGTACAAAGGTCTGATTATCTTTAACGAAAATTGTGTCAAAATCCTTGGTCTACCGATATTCCACTTTAGACCTCATAACTTGGTCAGTTTTCTGCGCAATAGTGTAAGAAGGAAGAAGGGAAGCAATATTTTCGTCTTGGGTCAGATAAAAAAAATCTCCATGAAGTACAAATATTTTAGATTCTGAAACCTATAACCTTATTAAACCTTATTTTTTCAAGAATTAAACAAAATTTGCATGGGTAATCCAAAATATTAACATGTACTTTAAACAATTTTCCTGTTTTTTCGTCAAAGTGTAACATAAGTACAAATCGAGAAATCGAGAAATTGTTTCGGACAATCCGTTTGTTTTGTGTACTAACTATAGAGATATTGCTCTAGGTAACTTTCAAAGAATCTCAGTTCACTCTTGGAAAATTTAAGTATTTCTTTAAAAATACACACATTGTTTGGATTGGTGCAGTGTGCCTCGTAGGGGTTTAATGAAAAATATCAAGTTCTTCCCAATTGTTTTATCCTATAATGTTCCCGCGAAATTATCTTTGTTTTCCACTTGTCATTCAATACGTTGCACATTAAGCTGAATTAAACTATATATACAAAAGATTAAAACCTAGAGAGAGATAAATTATTTGAGGTTCCACTCATGCAATCACGAAAACGTGCACCGAGGAAAGCAAAGACAAATTTGGTTCTAGAAAGGAATATTTCAGTTTCAAATGGAAAATAAAAAAGATAATTTTAAAATATATATATATATTTATTAAAAACACAGACAAAATTCGAAATTATTTTTATTTTCTCCTGGATTTGGCCAGAACGATAACCTTTGAAAGAAATGACCTGCCAAAATCTAATCTTCTACTGATCCGTTTTGCTAAAGAATGCAAACAAGATGTAATATTGTCGTGCATTTTGATGAATTGTTTGAATAGAGGTCGATGAAAGTCCTTAATGAATCCACACGAAATACGTTTACCCACTTTGACAAAACAATGTTTCCATTTTCCAACGGGACACAAACTTCCAATATATAAAGATTAAGAAAGAAAACTAATTTCATTGAAATGAAAATGTGGATAGGAAGTTGATTATATTTCTGGTGAGGATGAAGAGCTGTCATTAATAGATGCTAGAGATCGTCTTTCTTACCAGGTTTAACATTGCTGGTTTCTTTTACGTGTTTTATTTTTCACGTATTTGCAATAAAACATAAGATTCATTTGCAATGCTTACATTTAATCACATTTTCTGATATAATGCTGCACTACACGAACATACGAACATATTCAATTAAATTTAAGGAACTCATATCAAAACGACATTGTATTCTCAAAAAGAAATCGGAGTCAATCTTTAGGACTTTCTTTTATTTTTTGAAGATGAAGCAAAAAGAATATTAACAAAAATATATATACCTGATACAAAAAAATCTGGTTTGAATGTATAGTGAAATAACAATTCAGATTCCCGTGCAAAATCTTACTGATACATAATTCTTTCACGGAAACAATATAAATATTGAAACAAAACAAAGTCAACATTTCGAATTGTTTTGTCAATTTGAGCAGATACCGTGGAAACAACAAAAGTACGTTTTGGAACCATAGAAGACTTACAGAGAACAGTTATCCCAAAAAATATCTTAACCGTTTCCCAAGAAAATATCTTGTTCCATCTCTTTTTCCCAGAAAATATCTCATTCGTTTTGAAAGTTCGTCATCAGAGTCCGAGTTCTGTTGGGTCTCATCGTCTGGCCGTTTTCCTAGAAAGTATCTTGTTCGTTTCCCGAGAAAATAACGCATTCTTTTTTGTAATGCAGGGTCAACTTCAATTCCTGATCCGCGCTTTCCAAGAAAATATCTCATTCTTTTCTCCAGTTCATCGTCCGCTGCACCATCTTGACGCTTTCTAAGGAAGTATCTCATTCTCTTATCTTCGCCTGAAGAGTCTCTTTTCCCAAGAAAATAACGTAATCGTTTGTTCACATCACTGTCTAAAATAAAACGTTTTCCCAGAAAATATCGCATGCGTTTTTCTTCCCCGTTGTCTTGGGCATCAGCTCGTTTGCCGATGAAGTATCGCAGACGTTTTTGAAAATCTTCGTCTCCATAGCGCCTTTTTGTAATTGCCGTGTCGCTGTCTGTTTCCTGGTCTGACACCGGCGAGGAGCTGTCTGTATTTTGGCCAATAGATATCACTTCACTGATGCAGCAGACGTTTAGAAGTGCTACGAGGATGTACAAAAATACGTAAAAACTCATTTTTGGATTGTCAAATTCTCTTCAAAATAAGAATTACGCTTCCTTTTATTTACTTTCTATAAATGATAATGCTCTCCACTGCTTGACAGAAAAGCGCAGTGGTCACATAGTTCCAGTTTTCTTTGACATAATTGTTGCATAAAGTTTTAGAAGCACCTACGTTGAAAGCAAAATGTATTTATGCATGAAAAATGAAATTCAACTCTTTATAAGACAGTTACGTTGTCGTAATCGATCTCACGTGGGAAGTAGGAGGGACCCGGCTACAAGAACTAGTTCCTGGGAATCAATCATTTGTCTCGAACCAGCCTGGCTGATCCCACCTCTCCTGAATGGATAACATATCGATAATTACCAATCATATCTTTTGCTTATCATTGGTTCTGATATTGCAAAAAATACGTCAATGTAACTTTTTCTGTGTGTAGTTCAAAATTTATCTCACGAAGGACTACTTCGTTTAGAGATTGTTAAACGTAATTTCTGTACAATGTGCGGTAGGTTTTTGCATAATGAGCGGTAGGTTTTGTGCATTATTCGGTCGTGGAACAACTATAATAATTTTTCAATGGGAAAAATTTTTATATGAAACATAAATGGGATCAGACAATCATAACTTCTGTAAGCCGTCTAATTTTACAGGTGTATCATGTGATAACCTTTCAAAAAATATTGGTGCTCGTAGTCGTGTTCAGTTGCAAAGTATGAAACTGCACACCAATAGAACATGGAGAGCAGTATGTTTTGATGTAAATATTTTATCACAAAACAAAAAAAAATTAATGAAATACTGGTAAAGTCCAATAATCTTTTCTTCTAAATCAACAAAATAATCAAACATGTTAAATATTACTAGTGTGTGATTTTTGAATTAGTTGATTAGTTTAATTCGCCAGTAACTTTTTATACTCACTAAAAATTTTATATTTGATACATGTATATAACAGATTTAGAAATAAAGGCAATAATCGTCTTAACAGGAATTTTACTTTGTGAGAAACATCGGTGAAAAGGAGTTTAAAGCCGATGATCTATCAAGTGTGTTGTATCAATACGCAAATGCATTTTTTCCCTAAATAGATATTTCGTAACAGATCCTTACAATAGCTGGTGACGACGGATATTTTTCTATTACAATACGAGAAAAAAAATGACACTTATATGCTGCGAATTTTCATAACAATAAGCATAATTCTCTTATTTTCACACTATAACATGAAGCCACCTGAAAAGGTTTTACTTTCAGGCAGGACAAAGACCGAATACTTCCTCTTAATATTAACATGAGAGGATCCATATAAAACATTCATCTTATGTAATTTTTCGGTATGTTATGTGATTATGTCTCTTTAGATGAATTCTCTTTTTAAAAAGCTACTTCTATACTTCAACAACCAAATATTCCTTAGATAAGTTTTTCTGACAAAATGATGTCCAGATACGTGATTGCAAGAAATACAGTTTTGAACGACATATGTTGCTTTCAAGTAAAAATCATACTAAAATACATATAATTTTATTCATTTTAAATATCTTTGAAGATTAAAAGATAAAAATTAAAAGCATAACCGTAAAGAAAAGTGTTTGAATTGTGAGAGAAGTTTTGAAATCAGGAAACAAGTGGGATTTTTCAACAATGTTAGAGGAAGTCCTTTTGGGAGATTATTCTTTGTTCCTTTAATGTCCAATTGTTTTAAAGCAGCATTTCATTTACGGATATAACGTCATTTCTGGTTTTTACATCTCCAAAGTGATAAACAATGAAGCAGCGTAATTAGCCCCGCAAATCAAGCAGTCTTTAATAAAGCAATATTATTTTTTTTCAACATCAACGAATTAGTTACATATTCAAAACGAATTCAAGAGTACATACACGTGTATATGTGTGTCACAATCTACAATATTTATATCGTGGAAGTCCTGTGTCCTCAGATCTTTGTACGTGTACATTTGTATCAGTGCCTAAGCATTTTCTCCCCCTAAATAACGGTTACACAGGCTTATAGAAGACGAAAGGTATTTTTTTTAAAAACGACGTTCTGCACATACATTTGAAGTTTCGAACAAATTTGTGTAAAATACATTGATTGAGGTTTATAAAGAACTTCTTTTTTTTTTCATCGCGCATCATCGGACATTTTTACACTGATCAAATGTGTTAGTATGAAACATAACAGTTTGTCTCACCACCCACCTATAAAAGCTACATTGTTAATAGCATGTAGAGTAATAAAAGACAAATAATTAACACAATACTCCATAACACAGCCATATACGAAAATTATCCTTTTTTCGTGTACGTTGCGTCGATGTCACCGCCTCCAAGTAAAATGGGAAAAAAACACTTTTTAATTAATTTCACAAGGTGCAATATTTTTCTTGCGTTTAGAAAGAAAATCCTATCACTTTGCCCTCTTACTAAGAATCCTGGAAGTTGATAGGTTTAAAGAAAGAAAAACAAATACTTTAGTTTTTATTCCAGATTGAATATCTTCTTTCAAAATAGTTTTCTTTTCAACGGGATACAAATGTCTTGTTGTATTCAGGATAAGTGCATAAAAAGGAATGGAAAATAGGATCAGATCGTATTAACAATGAAGCAGCGTAAACATAATAAGACCCGCAAATCAAGCACTCTTTAGCAATATTAATATTTTTTTCCAACATCAGTGAATTAGTTACATATAATTATTCAAAACAAATTCAAGAGTACATATATAAGTATGTATCACAATGTACAATATTTATATCGTGGAAGGCCTGGAATAGTGATATTTTTATTTGTTATCTTACACCACTTTTTCTATATCTATAGTTTTACATTTTTGGTAATATACTTTACTATCAACGCCATCTAAGACTGTAGCTGGGGGGGGGGGGCTATTTCATTAAACAGAATAAGAAAAGGGACGATTTTACTAAATAAAATAAAAACGGACTATTTCACTAAATAGAATAAAAAGAGGACGACTTCACTAAATACATTTAGTTAAAGAGGGAAACATCAAGTCAGATTAAGACCTACAGTGCCCCCTAAATTTTCTTTGTGTGTTTTGGGGTGGATTACAACAAAATTAGGGAATGTATCATGGGACCAGTTATCGGTATGTCATGCTATAGTAATACGGATTTTATTCCTCGGCGATCCTTTACAAAAGAACTTATACAATGGAATACGGAACTGTGGGATTTTAATTCCATGAGACTGGTCGTGAAAAACGAAGGGATAGTAATTGAAATCGAAGATGAGGGAGAAAACGAAATAACAAATCAGTATAAAGAGACGGGCGCACAGATTTGCGAGACATATTCTTATTATGAGGATAATGAATACAATACGATGTTAATGGATTTCATTTCTCCGACAGGAAATCACAACCTGTTTTTCCCAATTCCATTGCATTTTAAATGTAAACATTCTTGAAATTTAACACTATTAAAAACAAACAATTTTTTTTCCAGAAAATTAACAGAAAGACAAGCTGGTTAATTTCTTTCAAATGTCAGTGCGCTGTAGCACTAATGAAATATTTCGTAACGTCTTTCCTTTTAATTTGACGGAATGGTAGATATTCTATCATTCCCAGTACAAAATTTGAAGGCGTTGTTATGAGACTGTAAAGGACTCATTATGGAGGAGGAAGATTTATAATGAGGGGGAGGATTACTAATGAGTTATCTCTCCATTGTCATCAAATAATTTTAGCCGTGGATATGGATTGTATATTATATACGCTACATCTGGTCACCTGGATTTTCGATGTATTTTAGCCAGTTCATTTCACAGACAGTGGACACAATACAAAGCAGGGCACAACAAACGCAAAAACATAAGAACACAAAAATTAATGTAATTTGAGACATTATCAAAATCGTATCATCAATTAGTTGTTTTTCAATACGATCAATATGCAGTGGAACTCATTGCTTACATATTGGGAATTAATTTCTACTGTGGAATTTGAGGGAGCATTTTAACTATTTAATTTACCACTTGACTTTCACCATAGCTCCCCAAAACTGATGAACCCGTCATGGTGTTATATTTGTGATAAATTTAAATCGATTTTGAATAAACATACACTGTATTTTCAATGACAATGTTTTATATTAAAAACATATGTATATGGAATTCACAGAAAAAAGAAAAGCTTCGTATCTTGAAATTTCATGTCTTTAAGTTTAGGCAAGACATTTTCCTTTTTTGTTTCTTCTGTTTGTTTGCTTGCTTGCTTTTAATTCTCTCTTTTTCTTTCTTTCTTTTTTTTTTAAATTTAATTTTTGGTTCAGGTCACTTCCTTTCACTCTGTGTTGGCTTTTAATGGAACCTTGATCACAGTGTAGTCTTTAATTCATGAGATTATTTATTATATTTCTCTGACGTACTACAGGGAATATTCAGAAAGGTAACGCTATCGGAATTTTTATGAGTTATATAAATATATCAATGTTGATACCTAGTCTATCCGGATTTATATGTAAAACTGTCCATTTATCCTTATCTTTGCTTCATTATTTTTTCATTAGACCTCTCTGTATGGCAAGCTCTTTTGTTGATGTCAATGTTAAAATGACAAATTTCTCACATTCAAAATGTATGTAGTTCATTCATCATTCGTTTTTTTACCTAATAAAATTATTCATCTAAATAGGGTGTAAACTGAACCCTTTATCTATATTCTGTTTGTTCTTCATTTCTCTTCTTTTAAATGGTACCAAGTTTAATGTATATATAACCGTTAATATAGCTGTATCATTTATTATCTATAGCTATCAATCATTGATGTAACCGAATCAAAACAACTATCCGTCCAATCGTGAAACTGAAATATATCTCTTAATTCTTTTTACGCCCAATGAACATTTTAGTAAAAAGGAATCCTTTATGAAATTGATAACTGATGGTTTTTGTTTAAATCCCAAGTGACATTATAAGTAAAGAAATGAATGAATAAAACACGTGTACAATTTTCGTGTACTTTAGAAGCAAATCTATTTTTTACATAATTTACATCTGTATAGCTTTAATACATATAGAATACCATGTATGTAAAAAAAAAAACCTTGACAAGCAGAAAAAAGGGTGGGAGGGGAAGAAAGGGGAGTTTAAAGAATTTTTTTTTTAAATTAAACGGGGAATGGGGTTCCCTATC